AAACTCCCAAGTCCCAACCGCGATCTCCTCAGCAACTATGTCCACCGTTCCCAATTCGAACATAATCAACCGACTCTCCAATACAAATGAACACCAACTCAAAAACTGAAGTCAGCTCAGCGTGAACCCGAAAAAAAAAACCTCCATGAATCTAACGACGCAAGCTGAATTTCGCCGGAAAAAATCAAAAGCCGCGCGACTCTTGTCTGTGAGGATTCAGACATCGGAGGACACGAGAATAAATCGAACCGACCAGTTGAGCGAGGAAATGACCGGAGGAGGAGGAAGAGAGACCTTGAGGCCGTCGACGGAGAGGAGGCCGCTGAGGATGCACTCCTTGAGGCCGGTCCCGAGCACGATGACGTCGTACTCATTGTCCATGTTCGCCGACCGGTGAGAGCAGATCAAGTGGTCTGGGAGGAGAGCGGCAGATGTTTAAAAAGCCGGAAGAAGACCAGGAAGGTGACGGGGGGAATACGTGCCGTCTGCAATGAAGGCGGGAATATCTTACAAAAGGAGGCTGGAGTTCGTTGTTTGATCATGAAGGGAGAGGCAGGCATATGTGACAAACTTGTGGATTGCGGTTGCTTCCCGCTCATTTTGCTTTTTATTTCTATTATTGTCATTTTAAATAATTTGTTCCTTTTTTCCCCATTGTTTAGTATTGTGGTGTCGATGAGAAGGTCTCCAATGAACTCGATGCGTCGTGGACCGAGCAACACGAGCCGTTTCGATAAAGCGGGGTCGTTTATCGACAAACGAGACACATCCCGTCCACCATGGATCAAGAGCAAGTGAGAATTTGTCTCGAAAAATATGCAACGCCAACCTGTAGAGACCGGTTCCCAGTTATTGCAGAGACCAATTCTTAATTTTTGGAACCTAAAATTTATCATATATACCATGGAACTGAGATTTTTAGAATTCGGACCATATCCCGTATATCCTGGAATTGACCCTTGAACCGAATCTACGGTGCCAGTCAATTCCTTTCTTTGCAGGTGAATTCTAATGGGTACATATCTTCCACCTCTACAAGAGAGAGTTTAAAGCTAATCATAGTAATAGAAGAACACATTGAACAACACTAGTAATGAAATTATGTTTCGAATTATAGAAGTTTGATATAAAAGATCCATAGATACTACTAGTTTTAGGGTTATCTCGGTTCGGTCCGATATTCTGGATCCCGATTCGATTCTTCGGCTCTACGGTTACCGGTCCGATTTGATTAGGTTCCTACCCGGAATTCGGGAGATATTAGTTCCAAAAAATTTGGAACCATATCGATGAGTCCCGGAATCGAGAACTGGACCAATTTTTAGGGTCAGTTCAATCCGATTCTCGATTCTACTTGGGGCTCATGCTCACCCTTATTATAAATAACCCATCTAAAGAATCGTATGCCTCATTTTCAAATTAATCATGGCTTTTCATTAAGGAAAATTGTCCAAAAAATCCTAAACCTATTGCACTTTTGCCAATTCAGTCCTAAATCTTTCAACTTTGCCAATTGAGTCCTAAACCTTTTCATTTCTTATCAATTGAGTCCATCCGGCTAATTTTGGCTAGAAATCGCTGCTATGGACGCCAAGCGGCCATGTGACGCTAACGTGGATATTTTTATATAATATTTTAATAATTTTTGAACTTTTTAAGATTTTTTTTCTTCTCTTTTTTTTCTCTTTTTTTTTTTTATTTTGAAGATAGGGCTGGCGAGGGCCGCGAGGGCCGCGACGCCCTCGCCCAAATCTGGCTAGGCGAGGCCCTCGCCGGTCCCAGTCAACGCGCCTCGCCTAGGCCGACAAGGGCTACCAAGCCCTCGCCTAGCCAAATTTGGGCTAGGGCATCGCGGCCCTCGCCCGTGGCCGGTGAAGTTCAGCCAGCCACCTTCGTACCTTCGCCGGCCCTAACTTCCAAACTAAGAAAAAAATAGAGAAAAGAAAAAAAAAACATAAAAAGTTCAAAAATTATTAAAATATTATATAAAAATGTCCACGTCAGCACCACGTGGCCACGTGGCGTCCATGCCAGCGATTTTTGGCTAAAATTGACCGGACGGACTCAATTGGCAAGAAATGAAAAGGTTTAGGACTCAATTGGCAAAGTTGAAAGATTTAGGACTGAATTGGCAAAAGTGCAATAGATTTATGACTTTTTGTACAATTTTCCCATTTTCATTAAACACTGTACGAGGTTGGGAAGAGTACAAAACTCATATACACGGGTACAAACAGGTCCAAAAGCTCATTATCTTAATTTTATGGTCAAATCTCCACCAAATTTGTCTACTAATTGACGATTGTTTGCATTTCAACCGTTCGACATGAGATTGTGGCATTAGCGAATCAGTTGTTATAAACGTAAATCTTTACGGTTCATAATCACTAGCTTTTAACCTCGCGCATAATAGATTTTATAACTTAAAAATGCTCGTCAATTTAGTTTTCGGAACATAAAAATTTCTGCTATTAACAATATCAGATATACCTCGTGCGGATCTACATGGATAAATGAAAAGAATATAGAAGAGGGAGGTAGCCTACTACTACTATTCCGAGAATTCGAAGTGCAATGGTGAATATACAATATATATGATATGAAGGTGCATGTGCATATTCGTGTATTCCTCTCTACATTAATCTCCAAATGAACTTGAGTTTGTGAAGAAAAATATAACCGAGGATTGGAAGTGCAATGGCCGATATCGGTGCCAATGACCTTTAGAGTGAATGAGTGGAATCGAGGCTAATTGGAGCGGGATTTGTTTCAATACAAGCTGAGTTTGGCATGTTTTGGGAAAGGACTTTGGGCCTCTAAAGTTAGGTGAATGTCGTGACAGTTGGTGCAAACATTTTGGATCACTTTGAATGAAAGCCAGCACCGACAAAACCAAAACCCAAGGTAGGTCCTCCCTTGCTTTGGCTTTCAGCATTTTCGAAAAGACCTCTTGAAGATTAATGATATTTTCTTCCAACTTTGCCCTCACTAACATTTTCGAATTCCCATTTTTCCCCCATTTTTAGTGTTCATCGTCTCTCTCTCAACCAAACACACCCAATGTCTTGAGTGTGATTTAATTTTTCACTTTATTTGTTCTGCTTTGATTTAATATAAAATCACAGCTTATTTTCTACATTTTCATTAATTCAATATGACATCATGCATTCGACAATCTACACCAACCTTGTTTCGAGTAATCGTAGCACAATTATATTCAATGAGTACATCTAAAATATCCAGCTTTGACTGATGAATTTTTATACAATGTCGAAATATAACATTTTCATATATTGTTGAAATTCTCTTGTTTTCATCACTATCCCGTGTCGAGTGCTATACAAAATCTTGTCGATGAGTATTTTCCAAACACTTGGGGTGTTTTGGTTTGAGTGTAATAAATTCCCGCAAATTAATTTTCTGGACTTTCACGCGTTTGGTTTGTTGAAAATAATCAGTTAATGAAAAACTATTTACGGTAAAAGAAAACGTGTATGCTTAAAGTTAGGAAAATGAATTTTCTAACCTAAAGAGAGGAAAATAATTTCCTGAAAATTATTTTCCTTTATCGTGAAATTTTTTACGAAACACACCCTTATTATGCATATTTACTGAAAGATATTTCAATCTCCAAAGCGTGCATATCATACGAAAAATAATACGTTGAAAATAGTAGAGTTTCCTTTTTGAATAACTTGACGAATGGCAATGACTCCACTTAAAAAGGGGGGAAAAAGCCATAAAGAATCTCTAAACTATGCTCACTATGAAACGTTTATCCTAAACTTTTTCTCGTGACATAAAATACCTTAAACTTGTACCTATACAACACATTTACCCTCCGTCAGATGATTTTTCAGTCAAAACAACGTCGTTTTTATTTCACTTAAGCCACATAGCTGTCATGTTAACACCGTTTACTTTTTTACGTTCATGTTGACAAATTTTCAACGATTTTCATTGACGGAACTTTGAATGAGGGTAAATGTGTCACACGAATATAAATTTGAGATTTTTTGTGTCACAAAAAGGTTTAGGGTAAATGTATCACAATAGTCATAGTGTAGAAGTTTTGGTGACTTTTGCCAAGAAAAATACTATCTATCTATCTCAAACTAACCACCACTCTCTTTTTTCCAAGTAATTGTTCAATTCACGCATGTTCATTAGCTAGCCAACTCATAGGTCATCCAATTCCCTCCAAAAAGTAATTCATTAACTTCGTACGTTATCCCCGATCACGCACGAGGTACTTGATAAACCGCATCGTAACTCATTACAAACAATGTCCACCAAGACATTCACCACAAAAATGTTACCGACAGCGCTAAATGATCTCCAGCATAGTATTCGAATTCAATCAACTCACCCTCGACTCACGAATCAAAGCTCGAAAGCGAATTTAGACCATCAAGAGATACATCGTCCTAAAACCGCCGACTCATTCCGAACCAAAGAGACCTCCACATTAGCTCAAACTAATTGTCGTTTCACTAATGCAATCACATTCTCGAACAAAGCCATAGAACACGCGATCGCACATAGAGACGTGATGTAGACCTAGACTTACATGTTGGAGAGCTTGTTCGGCGCACCTACGGTGACCTTAGTGACATGAAGGAGAGCGAGCTCAGTATTGAGGTCTTTCAGCTGACTCAGCAGATCCTCACTCCACAGTGAAGAAGAAAAGGAAAAGTCAGCAAAAACAAGAAATCAGAGGGTCTCTCTCTCGAAGAGACGAAAGCAAGCATCAGGACCACCGTTACCAATTGCCTTTGCTTCGTCTGAGCTTCAATGGCCGCCTCTTTGCGTGTGCACTAGGTTCATGTGAGCTATCTTATCATACGAGTCTCATGTGAGTCTTATCAAATCAATCAGCACCCATGCACTCGGCTCCCATTAGCTTGGTGCATGGAATAATGAGAATGAGACGTAGATGGCTTCTTCAGCTGGGTCATCCATGTCTACAGAAAGTCCATGTTGTTTGAGTTGGAAAAAGGTTATAATCAATCTAGTCACATTGATCGTGTAATATTTCAATAATGTCTCCATGGCCATGGTCCGTTTCATCTCCGGAGGAGACTATCAAGCAGACACTAATGACTAGCATTTTAAATAAGCATTGCACATTTTGCATGTCAATTCTTACATGAATTATCACAGTTGACACTTGATAGTACATAGAATAACCAGAAACACGTTCTAGAGATTTATCGACAATAAAAACCGATGCCTGAGAGCTCCAAACCAGGCACTAGCAATGCAGGCGCCGAACCTCTCAATTCTCATTCCTCCGCAGCACTGGCAGCGCTTAAATCCACACTGAGGTCGAGAACCTGCCCAGAAGAATGTAATTTTGTCAGCATCTCTCTCTCTCTCTCTCTCTCTCTCTCTCTCTCTCTCTCTCTCTCTCTCTCTCTCTCAAGGAAGCTTGAATTGCTGCTGTGGAAAATGTTAAGAGTTGAAAAACAACTTCTATATGATCTTCAATCATTTCAAAGCAATATAAGCCGTTTGTCGTACTCTTGCCTTTCAGCTTCTGCCAAAGAATTTAACAATTACTTTGACTAACCGATACACTATATTTATTTGGTATTTCCTGTCCTATTCAAAAGTTACACATCTCAATAATGCATAAGCTTTACTATTATGTTACATTTTCAGGACATCTTTGATCGTTAATCGAAGGGGACTATAGGCTTGATTAGCAGAGGGAAAAGACAAAATGTGCAGTAGGTGGAATTTTTGGGCAGGTTTTTTTTTCTTTTTTGGTCGGTATTTTTTGGGCAGGTTTCATGGGGCTAGAAAGTAGTTAACTTGTACTGCATAGCAAATAGCCAAACACCCTGCTAACCGCACCGATCACCTCTATTGCACCAATTGGACACAAGAAAAACGGGAGGGCATGGCACTATGGCAGGGCTTATCATGTAACTAGCGCAAATGCATGATTACCTTGTAAAGAGAAACATTAGATCATAACTTAAAGGCTGAATTCACGGGAACAGACAAAAATGCATAATCATCAGGTATAATTAACGAGAAGGATAGCCCGAGCAATTCTAATGTTGATAGCTTCCAAAGAGTCCTAAAAAACTTCCAACCCCATGAGAACTTGTCAAAGATTATCTCATGCTCCCCACGCCGATGAAATACTTATCATCAAGATCGTAGTTGATAGCAAGACATTTCTGAGAAGTAATTCTTACCTTTCCGGTGATCATTGTATACATGTTAAGCACATCCATAACAGTCGACTCGAAGTGGGTTGTGGCATCATAACTCTGCAGGCATAGGAAGAGAAGAGATTAACATAATATCAATACAATTGAAAGCTCCCAAATTCCACATATACATCACAGAGACAGACGGAGAGAGAGAGAGAGGAACACAACTCACAGTGGATATGAAGCAGTTGTCAAGAGAAGGTTCATTGACTGGTTCATATCTATCATAAGTGTCATAAAATATCTCATCAACAGGCCCCAGCAGATCAACCCCTGGCTTCAGTTCTATCTCAGGTTGATCAGTTTCAGCCTCTGCCGAAACAAATGCAATGAATTTGCCCTTTGGTGCGACATTGTGAGAGTATGAACAACAGAAAAGATACCTGCTCAAACATGGGCATAGTTGAATAAGGAGTCGAAAAACAATGAAGGATGCTTAGATTATCAGAAGCCGTGAAAATGGATTTTGTTTTTTTATCGGTAATCCATGGCCAACCTATTAAGCAGGCGCATGGAACCATTTGTGAAATTCAAGATCTAAAATACAAGTATCAAATGGTATTTAGAAGTGAAATGTGGCTCAAGCAGATTCTGATCCTGACTTAAAATGATAGTTTACATAAAGTTAATTAAAATATCATTGATCTCATGGGAAAGATACTTTACTTGCTACACTTGCATTCATTTCCTTTCCTACCTCAAATACAGCAAATGAAGTTAAATGGATAAGTAAGAAGCTATTTCTCTCTTGACAATAATCATTGATTTGCTTTTTCCCCCTTCATTTCTCGAACAGACTTTCACATTCAATATAATAAGAAAATATAGCTAATAATCTCCAATTAGTGTACACAAGAACTTACATATCTGACTTGCGACCCAACTGTTTCTGTGGGATAATAACCTGAACTGAGTGAGAATCATAGGTATTTGGGATCGGATGGCTCATGATACAGATTGCCCTGGCAACCTTCCCGATTTTCCTAACCTGCACAAGTTCACATATTCCCACTGAGTACGACATCCACTGTTGTTGCAAAAGAAAAAAGGTGCATCTGCATGTTATGCGCCTTTATGGTTATCGAGGCCTGTTACTGGTTCTTACATTTTTAAAAATTAAAAAGAAAAGGACTGAGAGGGTGGGGTATAAAACATTTTGCAAGGTTTAGGGCCTTTAGGCCAGAGAAAGTAGTCATATCTTAGTGGCAAAATAAATATTACGTCAACCACCACAGGCACTGATGCAGTGACCATGATCTTTTTATCAATATCAAGGGGGTGCAGCACGCACACAAGATCCACATGCATAGAACCTGGCAGATAGAACCGATATACACCTATTTAACCAACTCCACAAAAGTTTTAATCTACAATTGTCTCGAGAAAGATTACTAACTGATCTTACGGAATCAATATACTTATTATACTACATGAGCTAGTACCACTTACATCAAACAAACTGAACTCCGACATAAGTTCGCTAACACTCTGCGATGATCATGATGCAGTATCATATTCATTACCTTGCTAGGCAAATACGAAGGGTCGCAAACAACTTTTTTGCATTTGGCAGTTTCGCCCTCTGATGTGACGCCAATGACTTGGCCTTCATCATTGAACTCCACCTGCAATATAACAGCAAAATAAAACAACATTTTTTTACTATAAGTAGCAGATTTAACTTGAAATTTAACAATAAACACCATTTTCATGATATTGGCAGAGAATAAGGATATATTTACCAGTCCAAATATAAATGAGAACCAAATGACCTGATTACCTTGCATTCCTGTTTGTGCAGCATGTAAGTCCCACCATATACAGCACTTAGCCGCGCAAATGCCTGGATTACAATAAAAAAAAGTTAAACAGAATCCAAAGCTAATGGTCAGGCATCAGCAATGGATTTAATCAAGTGTGTCAAAACTGCAGCAGCAGCAGCTTGGACATGCATCTGTGACGCTGGATGTACCTGAGGGAGCTCTCCTAACCCATACAAGGGATAAATATAGGGAGATCCTCCTTGGAAACGAGCAAATGACTCTGCATAGAGCTATCAAGTGGTTGACAGAAGAAGAGGAATGTCAATTCAGAGCTCTCCAAAAAAAATGGGAAACATTTCTCTTTACGAGCATAAGAAAAATGTTTGTTCTGGTAAACTGGATCATTCACCTTCATTCTCTTGACAGTATCCAGGGCAGGCTCATTTAGGTATCGATCATCTCTATGGAGCGCCATGGCATGGCCAATAAAATCAATGGTGTTCTCATCCAGACCATATTTTCTGTAAAAAAATAAACAGAAGCAAAATGACCAAAGGGTTTCACAGCTCAGCCAGCTAATATCATTCTACCCATTATGATAGCTGGAACAAAATCATGCAGAAGAAGATAAAATTAAAGAAATATTTGAGCAAGAGCACCGTAAGGACACTCCAACTTTGTTTTAGACTTTTCTTCTTTTTGATGATTAATATCATTTACAATCCAACATCCAAAATAGGAATTGAGAGGACCATTTCCTACCACAGGCAGCACATAAATTGGTATAAGACAGTAAAACATCTAGCAAATTTAGTTATCATTTGATCAGTTGTGAGAATGGGAACTTCTAGGCAAAACACTTTGCACTTGCAATGCAGCATTAATATTGTATACAGAAATTGAAGTCACATGTCAACCCTGGAAAACATTTAAATACGTACACTATCAGTTCTCTCGTTGTTACACGTGTCAAATCCATCCCCTCATGTGTCTTTGGATCATTTTCATCATAATCTTGAACGTATATAAAGAACTTTCGAGCTCGACGCTTCTCAAACATGCCCATGAGTGGAGTTTTAAGTGCTTCCATATCAGTTGCAGGCACTTTGTGAACCTGTCATTGGCACTACCATATTGTTGAAGAAGAAAGGAAAACCAGGCAGACCTGCAATGATTCTGCAAATGTATTTTCCAATAGAGGGTGTCTCCATACCTTTCCCATACTGAAGACATAGCTGCCATCCACAGCTTTGAAGTACAGATACTTGGTAACATCTGTATGAATGAGGACTCGCACCAGAGTACCATTTGCCATTATGAACTACACAGAAGCACTAGTCAGCAAAGAATAAATAAGGATAAACAATCTGCTAGAGCTTAAATTGTAGGCCAATTAACAAAGTTTAGAATTCACCTTTGGGACCATGTCAACATTATAATCCCTGCTAGAACCCAAATGTGCAGGAGGTTTATCACTATTCCTAAATTTCTTCCAGAGCTGCAAGTCATCAATAGGAACTATTCAAACCACCCATTAAAGATAATGCAACAATGCAGCAAATTGCAGGGAACGCACGAAGAAAGCAGACCTGAATGAGATTAAGTGATGTTGACTCTCCTCCATAATAGTCATTCCTATCCATGTGCAAAACCTGGTTCAAAAGGTTCTTCTGTCAGCAACAGAGCAGAAATCCACAATCTATGGTAATTATCTTTGTCTTGGTTATGGGAAAAAAGGAATAAGGAGAGACATTGAGAATAGTTGTTTCATTTGCATATTTTGCAACAAATCTCAAAAGAGAAAATCCAAATGCCCGTAGATAAGTACAAAGAAGAGACAGAAGACTGAACAATTTACATGACAAGCTACTTGAATGGGCTAAAGTAGCACGAAAGTTTGAAAAAAAAAAACGTCAGTACGTAAATAAACTAGTTGAACGGATGTGACGTTCAACAAATACTTGCTTCAGTAAGTTCCTATAGTATCCCAGTAACGTTTAGGCTTATTAATGTTAGGAGGAAGCAAACACCGGTAGCTCTAGTCTAGCCTTGAATGACATTCAGCACTTCCATTAATGTGATTTTCCATGAAAAAGCTTTTCAGCCAGCTGTAAAAGCAGAGTGAAGCGAGGGGTGCCAGTCCATTTGCCAATACCAGAATGGCAGAAGGGTGTGGATCCATTAAAAGTGGGCAACCCACCAAATTACTCCGCTGTCCTATTAGCTCAGGCCAGAGCTACGGCATAGGGAGGTATTCTTATGGCAGGAGTCAACATGTTTCTGCAATTGCAGGATCATATATCGGACTGCAACTTAGAGACCAAGGAGTCCGATAGGTAGTAGCCACAACACTCTTATAAAGTCTCTAGGGACTGGTTTATGTCCTGGACCGCCTGGTAGAGCAGCTTTCAGGGGGAGCAACCTATAATTTTTGGCATGTACCTCTAGGAAGCAACCTATACTATCTGCTGCAGCAGTCTAAGTTTCAACGAGCTTTCCGTCAATCCTCCTATCAATCTAACAAGATGGAAGAGAAGTGCTTCTTTCTCCATACAAGGCATAGTGACAAGTCAATAGGTCAAGACAATGTACTACTCCACCTTCACTGTCCTCAAAGCTTTGAGATTAACTACTTCACTTAATACGACTTCACACTTGGTCAATATACTCGAGACTAACTCAATTCAATTATCACGAAGTTGCCACTTGTATTTGAGATAAAAAAAAAAATAGCGCAAACTGGAGGGTATCCATGTCCAATGTCCACCAATCACCATATGACAGGATGAAAAATTCACAATTTCGCTCGAGCTCATCAGCAGCTTAAAACTACTACGCTAAAGCTCAAACTAACTGCGGACCGGTTTCTCAGATTATCTCCGCTTAAAGTTAGTACTGCCATTCTCAATACAAATTGAACGTAAGACAATACACCAGCAGCCAATAGTCCAAGGCACTTAATCACATCAAAACGACACTCCCAAGTCCCAATCGCGATCTCCTCGGCACCGATTTCCACCGCTCTTAATCCGAAACATAATCAACCGGCTCCCCAATCCAAACGAACACCAGCTCAAAAACTGAAGTCAGCGCGTGGATCCTTACCGCGGCGTAAACACGAAAATAAAAAAAAAAGACTTTCACGAATCTAACGACAAGCTACGGGATTCACGCATCGGAGGACGCGAGATCGAATCGAACCGACCGATCGAGCGAGGAAATGAAAGGAGGAAGGACGGAGGGAGGAGACCTTGAGGCCGTCGACGGAGAGGAGGCCGCTGAGGATGCACTCCTTGAGGCCGGTCCCGAGCACGATGACGTCGTACTCCTCGTCCATGGCCGCCGCCGCCGCCGCCGATCGGGGCGAAGCAGATCAGGAGAAGGTCGTCGTGGAGGAGAGACGAAGACTGGAGCGGCAGATATTTGAAAGCTGGAAGAAGACCGGGAAGGTTTTGCGTGTCGTCAGCGATTAGAAGTCGCGGGATATTTATAGAAGCCGATGGTAATGTCGTGGCATGTAACGAACCTGTTGATTGCATCCGCTTCCCGCTCGTTTTACTTTTATTTATATTATTATCATTTAATTAATTTGTTGTTTTTCCCATTTTTAGGATTGTGATTATAGACGGGAAGGTCTCGATGAGCTTGATGCGCCGTGGACCGGACCGGGTAACATGAGCCGCTCCGATAAAGTGCGACCACTTATCGAGAGCCGGACACATCCTGTTCACTATGGATCGAGAGTCGAGCGAGAATTTGGCTTGATCAATATGCGATTTAAGGGTTGTTACGAATAATTTGTAATATTTGTGTTTCTGTTTTTTACTAGGTCAAAAAGTAGTGGTGGGACCCACTTTAGAAAAAAAAGAGGCCAAATGGGGATGCCTTCAGTTGCCGAGGGCTCTGGAAAAACTGAAAAGGAAAGTGAGAAAGAGAAAGGAAAGAACTAAGAAGAGGAAAGGGAAAAGAGGAGATAGTATTGCATCGCGCGATCTTGCCAAGCCGATTCGACTTTATATCGTAATGCCCGATAAGTATTTGTGTTCCTCGTTCGTCTAATCAAAGTAATTTTTGGAGTTATGGTTTAAATTTGGCATTACGAGAGATTCGAGCCGCGAAATCTAATTTTTTAGCTGTTGAGTTGTGGAATTTCATGGAAATGGTGGTTTATAATGTTGTAGAGCCATGGAGTTCGACAGGAGTCGTTTTGAAGCAACGGTTTGGTCGGGGTGGGAATTTTAGGGTTTTGCATGTGAACTTTGCATTGTGAACGGCTTAAATAATTGCTTTGGTATGTGATTTGTTGGCGCGTATGAGATGTTTTGTTAGCGTTTAAGCATTGTTTAACTGATTCATAGTTGTTATAGTATTTTAGGTGGTTTTGACGTTGATTCTCGTTTAATTGTTAGGATTACGAAATCATTGGCTCGTTTAGCTACTTGTTGTTAGTTTCGGGTATTCTCAGGTGAGCAGTATTATCTCTTCTTTGATTTTATAAAACCCATGTCTCAAAGAAGTTATGATTATATATATATATATATATATATTGAACTTAAAGAGCATTTTTATTGCATAACTCGAGATCGAACATTTACTACCTTTTATTATTTGTGAATGATTTGAGAATTGGTTTTGGAAATATATTGTGAAAGGATATATATGTATATTGCGTTACGACCTAGTTTATGAAATAAGTTCAGAAATTATTTGAGAAATGCTTTTATGAAATGTATTTTTGGTGGATGAGTTGTGTTGCCAGAAAGTTATTTATTTGGTTTGTGAAATGTATTTTCGATTGGATATAGATATTAGAGGATTTTAATGCTAAAAAAAGCTGTGAACTCGAGATATGCATACAAGTTAGGATATCCTTCTAGACCGAGCCACTGATTTTGTAGGTGAAGACCTTATTAAGGCGGAATCTTGGTCACATTGTCACAAGGCATTGTGTCGTGATCATGGTAGTATAATAAGCAATAAATTAGTCAATGAAATGGACCATTGACGTGGTTTTTATGGAAATTGATCAATGGACTTGACCATTGATAATTGAATTATGATGATGGATTTAAATATGTATTTTTTACCTTTACAAAGTTTTGATAAAATGAAACAACTCTTATGTGATTCGATATGTATTTCATACCTTGAATTTTGCTTCTAAAGTTTTTGTATTGTTTGTATACATGTATAGTGGTTGCTCGATCTACTTAGAAAATATATACTACTCATTGGGTTGTGTTGCTCACCTCTCTCTGTCCCAATCTTTTCAGGCTCCTCGGCTAGCGGCCGTTAGTACGAGGTCGCTCTCACAGGACTTTTGGGAGTTAGATTTTGTGTATGGTTTTTAGGAGTTGTATGCATGTACGTTATTAGTTTGTTGGGTTGGCTAAGTTCTACTTTTACATGTTCTTTTTTGTGGATTATGGAAACTTTGGTGTTGTGATCAACCCGTTGATTTATTTATATATGTGGTTTGAGATATATATGGTTATGTTTGAGGTTGTGTCGTTCGTGTGGAACGAAAACCGTGTCATCTCCTTTCTAGTTGTTTTCGGGGTGTGACATAATCCATCTAAAGAATCGTTTGCCTTCTTTTTTCGAATTAATCACGGCTTCTTTTCAAACATTGTACGAGGTTGGGAAGAGAATCATTATCTAAAATTCTGCTATCATTATCTCCGGCAATTTCTCTAGTAATTGACTATTGTTTATATTTCAACTGTCCAACATGAGATTATGGTATTAACGAACCAGTTATCACTGATGTAAATCTTCATTGGTCTTAGATAAATGAGGCAAAAGTTGTTCGACCCGTGCATAAGAGATTTTACCACTTGAAATGCTCGTCTATTTCTCTTCGGAACTTAAAAACTCCTGCCTCGTTTATCTAAGACATTTTAAAAAATAACAATACCAGCTATGCCCGGTGCGATAGTGCATGGATAAATTAAAGAGAACATAGAAGATGAAGGTAGCCTTACTAGCGGAAGAGGGGGAGACACATAATTAACACAATTTGGAAATAAAAACCTTGTACCCTATTTAAATTTAATATCATATATGAAATAAAACACATTCTTAAGATTAGATAAAAATTAATAATATCAAATTTGTTAATTGTACTTCATTTATGGCCAACACCCAATTATAGAATGCTCTCATCCTTCCCAATCTAGCGAATATATATAATATAAAGATGCGTGCGCATGTTTGTGTACTCGTTTCTACGTCAATCTCAAAAGGAACTAAAGTTCGAATACAAAATTTGCCCGAGGATTCGAAGTGCAAGGCCACGTTCGCATGGTGTTGGGAAAGGACTTTGGGCCTTTAAAGTTGAGGGAAAGTTGCGACGTTTGATGGAATTTGTTTAGATCACCTTAAATGAAAAGTTAGCTTTGGCAAAGGGCAAAATCCAAAGTAGGTCTTCCATTACTTCGGTTTAATTTTTTTCTTCCAATTTTGTTCTCATTAACATTCTCGAGTTCCTATTTTGCCCTAATATTTACTGTTCATCGTCTCTCTCAACCAAACGCACCCACTATCTATTGCTTCAGATTCCGATTGACGCAACCCTAAGGGCGATGGTTGCTGAGGGACAATCACCGAGGGTCAAGTGTCGCAGAGGATCAATGGTCGACGGTTGCCGAGATTTGGGTTCATGGGATTTGAGTTTGCGCTATTTGGCTTTGCTACGATCACCTTGCTTGGGCCGCTAGAGGTTGCACGACCTCCAGCAAGGTCGTCAAGATCATGCAACCCTCGGTGTTGCCTCGCCTCGGCCACTAGAGGGTTTGTGGGCTTCACCTCGAATATGACTCAACCATGCGGCTTTACCTCACCTAGGCCACCCAAGGTCATGCCACCTCAGGCAAGGGCTGTCGGGGTTCATGCAACCCTTGGCGCTGCCTCCCTTAGGTAACCCGAGGTCACATGACCTAGGTAATGCTCGGCCTGAAATCACGCGACCTCAACGTCATGTCGAGTGGCCTTTTCAATGGCTCAAGCCTCGCCGATTTCAATTACTTTCATCATGTTTGTCGGTTCTTCAATAGACGCTTTATCCCCCCTACACACCCTTCTACCCCCTTTTTTTTCACTTAAAAGTTACTTTGCCAAAAGTGCACCAAAGTAAGGGCAACAAAACAGTATTTGCTTCGAGTAAATACACCTTGAGTCAAAGATACTTTTGGGAAATGTCATTTCCCCGGATCTCCCCCAAAGCGTGCCCATGAATCAAAAATGGGAGCGTGGTGCCATCCTCGTCGAAACTATTGGGAGACAAATCCCATGACCAATGGAATAAGTCATCATTGTTTAGTTCTATTAACTACACCATGAAATAAAAATCATAAGAGATAATGACACAAACAGTTTTTAAAATTTGGCTCAATGTGTAATATAATTTCCGAACTTTGGTCCAATGTAGTCCTATTGGAAGGATTACATTAAACATTTTCATATAATTTAAAGACTACATTGAATACATACCAAGAGTTCAAAAATTACATTGAACAAATTAAAAGTTCAGAGATCACATTGAACATTAAGGTAAAGTTCAGCGAATACATCGAACAAATTAAAAATTTAGGGACCACACTATACATTGAGTCAAAATTTAGAAATTGCTTGTGTCGTTTTCCCAAATCATAACTAAGACAACTAAGATGCAAACGAAAGTCAAGATTTAATTGCGAAACATACTTTTGATGGTGAAAATTTTAAGGGTTAATACCACGAAAAATCCTAAACTGATATACATGTGATAAATTTACCAAAAACTATTTTTTTAACTACAAAAAATCCCAAACTGGTACATCCGTGACAATTTTACCCCGAACTATTTTTTTGACCACCAAAAACCCCAAACTAGTACACCTGCGATAATTTTACCCATAACTAATTTTTTAATATTATTTTTCCGAATTTTTTTTATTTTTTCTTTTCTTTTATTTTTCCTTCATTTTCAACCTATGGCCAGCAAGGTCGACCCCGCCAACCGCTGGAGAGGCCGACCTCGCCAGTTGCCAAAGAGGTCGGCCTCGCCTAGCAACTGGCAAGGTCGGCCTTGCCCGCCCCTAGCCAGGTTCGACCTTGCCAGTTGCTGGCGAGTTCAAGCCTCGCCAGATCTGGCGAGGGGTCGTCCTCGCCGTCGCTGGCGAGGCTCGGCCCCGCTGGCAACTGGTGAGGGCGGCCTCGCCCGCCCTTGGCGAGGCTTGAACTCGCCGGCAACTGGCGAGGTCGAACCTGGCCAGGGGCGGGCAAGGCCAATCTCGCCAGTTGCTGAGTGAGGCCGACCTCGCCGGCAACTGTTGAGGTAGGCTTGCCAGTGGCCGGCGGGGCCGACCTCGCCGGCTAGAGGTTGAAGATGAAGGAAAAAAAAAGGAAAAGGGAAGGAAAAAGAAAATAAAATAAAAAAATTCGAAAAAATAATATTAAAAAATTAGTTCAGGTAAAATTGTCACAGGTGTACCAGTT